GGGGGGGGGTTGGGCAGCCCAGCCCTGGGCCAGCCTCCCCCAGCGAGGAGCTGTCACTTCCCCTACCTCTCAGCCCCCCCTACTGAGTTCCACTTGCCCTGAATCTTGCACCCCCTGAGCCACCCCATATCTCCCACCCTCTGCCCCCTTGATTCCTGTACTGCAGGGTCATTACCCCTTGTGAATTACCCCTTGTTTGGTATTTTTTTCTTGTGTAACAATTTAAATGTGTGTGTGTGTGTGTGTGTGTGTGTGTGTGTGTACATACATGTTGTCAGTAACTGGTTGGTGCCATGGTGGCACACATGATGTCAATGTTGATGGACAAGACAGAACTCACTCTGCTCATGGATGGGAAATCAGAGGGAACACTGGCAGAGGAGGCGGGACCTCAGTCAGAGGAGGCGGTCCGAGCCACACAGAGCACCAGATGTGGAGCTCCAGCACCCCAGCAGCAACTCAAAGGGGCCCTGGGCTCCAGCTGGCGCCACTGGCAAATGCCACGACCCATGGCAATTGCCCCCCCACCCCCACCCCGTGGGCAAGCCTGACAGGAGGCCTCATGCACATGTAAAAAGCGGCACTTTATTATCAAAATAGGCTTTGATTCGGTCTAGTGGAACTTGTGCAGACCTTTAATGTTGATTCACTCAGTCCAGTTTGGGTTTGGCTCAAGTCAGAGTTTACTGGTACAAGCCGAACCGATTCAGACAGGTGGGAAAGGGTTAAGTGCCTTAAAGATGTGTGCTCCGAATCAAGGCGGCGAGCCCGCTGCAGGCTTTCTGATTTAGACCAGGTCTAGATTCTCCTCTCCTGGCGCTTTCATCCCTGTGTAACTCTGTCGATGTCAGCGCGGTGACTCCTGATTGACTCCAGTGGGGGACCTCATCCAGGCGTGGAGATCTGGATTCTAGGCACATGGCTCATTTGAGCAAAGAGCTCCGTGATTGCTCCATCAAAATCTGATCCCAGCACATTCCGCAGCCAACCCATCTGTTTCTCTCTTCCCTTGGCCCTGTGTCCTTCCCTGGCGCCTTGGCCTTTGGATCCTTCTTTACGCCGCAGAGGACGGGACGGTGAGCTTCGATTGCTTCCTGGCGGCTGCGGCCAACACGCGGCGCTTCTCCGAATTTTCAGGTGAACGGGGGCCTGATAGGGCGGGAAGAGGACGAGTCAAACTGTGCTGGGCTCCAAAGCCCTGCCCCTCTTGCACTCGGTCACACTGGTGCGAAGTATCACGCTCACTGTGCGCTGGTGAATGGTGCCACCTGGCACAGGTGCTAGCCGGCACTGGGTGCTAGCCGGCACTGCCTTCTTCTGAGCCTGCATCCAGCCGCTGTGCAGCACGAGATCGTCACAGCGCCCGGCTCTCTGGGATTCACGGACAGGGTCATGGCTGGTCAGGCTCCATGGCCACTTGCATTCTCTCCCTGCAGCGTGACGGGTCCTCATTAGAGGGGCAGAAACTTGTTTTAAACGGTAACTGCGTTACCGCTAGTGACTGCAGGGTCACACGCTGCCTTGCACTGCAGAGCCTGCGGCCAAGTCTCCCCAGGAGCGGGCCCGCCTCCCAGGGAGTGGAGCCGGCAAGGGCGCCAGCCCCGCTGCCTGGGAACCAGTATTGAATCTGTGATGGGGCCAGGCCAGGCCTGCCAGGGACAGGGATTCCCCTGGCCAGCCTGCTGGTGCAGCCCCTGCCTGCAGTGGGCCCTGCAGGGCTGGAGCAGCCCCCTGCCCGGGAGACACGGGGAGCTGCTCCAGCCCCTACCAGTTACCCAGAACCGATAAGCCTCGCCCGTTTAGGTTAACCTTTCACATCCTGAGTCCCCACACCCAGGCTCTGGCAGGGAACGGGTTAAGCTCGGGGTCTCGATTCGCTGGCAGTCGGTGTCTGATTGCCTGCGGGCAGGGTGCTCTGGCTGGGGAGGAGGAGCCGGCGGGAAGCCGGAGGAAGAGGAGCTGGCTTAGGGACCGCTGGTCTCTCTTTGCTTCTTCCTTCGCTGGGCCCTAAGAAACGGGACTTTGCAGCCACTCCCCTTGGAGCATCACCCGCACCCAGGGATGCTTGAACTGAGCACGGAGGCATTGTCCTCTCTGTAGCCCGGGACTAGGATCCCGCTGCCAGATTGGGCAGAGCTCGGCTTCGGGGCCTTGTCTAAAGGTTGACGTGGCAGCGGAGCCCTTTGGGAAGCCCGGCCCCACCCGAACGCCGGGCGCTCTGTCCCTCCGTGTGTCTGCAGCGCTGAAAGGGGCCGTTGCCGCCGTCAGCAAGGTGCAAGGCGACAGGGTGGCTGCGAGCGACTTGCTGTCCTGGCTGCGGGACATGGGGATCCACGTCTCGGATGCAGAATTCCAGCAGGCGCTGGAGCAGGTGTCTGTGGATGGTGAGTGCGAGGGGTCAGACTCAGGAGCACAGTCCCACCTCCGCATGGGCAACTCTCGGGCTTCAAGTCCTGGGACCGGGTGAGACGCCGGGCGTCTGCTCGCTAAACCGGGAGGCTTCCAGCCCTCGGGTCTGCTGGGGAAAGCTCGAAAAGTGGCCAGAGTGCAGCCCAGAGCAGCGGTTCTCAGCGGGCCGCATACTCGGGGCTCCACCCCCTGCAGGGGGAGGGGTAAGCCCTGCGAGCCCGATCCAGCTTGTGGGGGAAGGAAGCGGCTCTGTGCACTGTCCCCCCCTCCCAGCTGCTCACCTGGAGGCTTTCCCTGATGCTCCCATTGGCCGGATCACAGCCAATGAGAGCAGCAGGAGGTGGTACCCAGGAGCAGCAGGAGGCACTGAACCAGGTAAGTGCCTGCCCATCTCCCTCATCCCCCTCACACAGACCCCTCCTGCTGAGACCCCCACCCCACTCCTGCACCCTCCCTCTCAGTCCCCCCACTCATGCTCCCAACTTCCCTCAGACCTTCCCACCCTCAGCCAGGGCCGGATTAAGACCTTTAGAGGCACTAAGCACTGAAAAGATTATGGTGCCCCCCCCTTATGCAATTCAAAATAAAAACAACACTAGACTGTCAAATCTCTCTCTTTTTTTGTGTGCCCCTGCTTTGCTGGTGCCCTAAGCACGTGCTTAGTCTGCCTATTGGGTAATCCAGCCCCGCCCTCAGCCCGCTCCTGCACCCAAACTCCTGGCCAGACCCTACCCCCACCCCGCACCCATTTCTGGCTGGTGGTCCGCAGAAAGGTCTGCATTGAGCGGGGTGCGACGTGGACCAAAAACTTGGAGAACCACTGAGCTAGAGGCCTAGAACCCAGAGAGGACATTCAGACCCCGAGTGCCTCACCGGCGGTTGTGTGGAGGCCAGGAGAGGAGAGGAGTGAGGTGTGTGTGGCTTGTGCCATGGGGGGGAGACGTGCCTCGGTGTTCCGTACAGTGGGAGGGACTGCGCGTTGACCGGAGGGACACTGCCGGCTAGCTTCCTGTGAGCGAGCAGACGGCATTCGACAGGCCGGTTCTGTTCCAAACTCCGCCACGCTGCTGCATGGGGGCCCTGCACGAGGCGCTCCCTCCGTTTCTTCTCCCACCCTTCTGTAGACTGTAGGCGAATCTCCCTCTTGCTGTGGCAGGGGCACCAGCACGGCAGGGGCAGGGGACTGACCGGAAGGGGGAGCAACGGAGGGAGGGAGCCAAGACGAGCGAGCGAGCGGCAGACTCTTGAGGGAAAAAGGCAGCGCTGGAGGGCTGTGGGGGAAGGGGCAGTGTGAGAGCAGGGCCTCCGGTGGTTTGGTCAGCCTGGGAGAGGGGCTGTGAGGGGCAGGGCCACTGTTTGGGCCCCTGTGGGCCACTTTTAGGGTGCTTCTTCTGCTCATGCGTCGGTCTAGCGCCTCGAGGTGCCTGGGGATCCACGCAGCTGACTGAGCGCTTCTCTCCACTGCAGCTAACGGAAAGGTGAACGTCAGAGCTTTCATGGAAGTCCTGTCCAAAAGTCCGCGGCTCTGCCAGCTGCTAGGTGAGTGGGGGCGGACGGGAAGGAACACCAGCCAGGAACGTGGGCTCGGACGCTGGCTTGATTAGCAGATCCATTTCCCGCACTTGGGCACACGCGAAGCCAATTCCGTTAGGTGCGTTAACCACCAGCAGGCTGGATTTCCCTGCGGGGCGCGCCGCACAATGAGCGGGGCTGAATTTGGCCATAAAAAACAGGTCAATTTTCAGACTGCGGATGCAATCTGATGGATGCTCCTGGGGCCAGAGCTCCAGCTGGGGGAGGTCAATGTCGCTCCAGTCCGGTAAGTAGCACCGCACCGATTTAGGCATGATTTACAACCTGCCTTGGGGCATGTTCACGCCGCAGCATTATTTCGGAGTAACAAAATGCGCGTCTGCACTGCAAACCGTTATTTCGAAGTAATGGCGAGCTGGAGGAGTTCTTACTCTGACTCCCGTGACCCTCCTTTCACGAGAAGGAGGGGCAGGCCGAGGGAGAGCGTTCTTCCTTCGACTTCCTGCTGCATAGACAGCGCCAAAAGCCGAGTGACGCTATTTCCGCTTCAGCGATGCAGTTGACAAGCTGAAGTTCTGCAGCTTCGTTCAGCTTTTGCCCGGCTGTGTAGAAGTGCCCTGGGAGTTTAAGGGTGTCTGTTAGCCAGCAAAATGCTTCCTGCCCAGCCCCAGTTCCCCAGCAGGACAAGAGAGACTGCGGAGCTCTGGGACCGCACGAGCAAAGGGAAGCGGGTGAGCAGAGGCACATAACAGACCCGATGGTGCACTCAGTCACAAATCAGGCCTCACTTTACCAGAAATATCCCTGAGTCGCACCAGTGCACAATCCAAATCGGGCCCCTGGTTTCTGAGAGCACGAGGCGGTGGGAACTTTTATTGCTCTTCCGTTACATAGCCAAGCAGGGAAGGTTAAAAAGGTGGATGCCTTCGTCGGAGGAACCTGTGGTGTGTTTACTTGTCACTGACGACAAGCGGCGAGCTTTGGGCCTAATACAAAAATGGGCTCTGAACATTCCCAGCTCTCTGCTCCTGGGGTGACTGCCATGTGCATGTGGCGTGTACACGTGCCACTCGCCTTCTGCCAAATGGTGCAGCTTGTGTCTGTGTGTGTATGTGTGCGTTCGTGCACGTGCATGTGTGTGTGCACACGTGTAAGCATGCGTGCATGCAACAGTGCGTGTGTGTGAGCATCCGGGTGTTCTCAGTCCAGTCCCACTCAGGAATCCAGTGTCTTTTTCTTGGAGACCCAGGGTGGCTGTGATTGAGGCACTGGCTAACTCATGTTCTCAACCATGACTTCAGCCCCATTTCACCCCTAGCAAATGTATCCAGCAAGGCTTCTCTCCACGTACCCCAGAGGCAATATGGTAGCTAACACGGTGTCAGCCCCAACTCCCGTCCCCGGTCAAGACCAGGCCTGTACTGTGCGGCTGAGGACAATAAAGGCCGCATCAAGGGGCCAGATAAGAGCAGAGAACAGATTGGCCATAGTGAGCTCATTGGTGTGGCCCCGACACGGACACGCCTGTGGGGTATCGACTCTGGATTGCCTGCTACATTCTAGCTCCCACTCGAGGGGGGGAGCGGAGCCGTCGTGCCGTGCCCCAGCCC